TTCTTTATTACAGGTTAGATGGCTAGTAACGAGGATCACCCATATGAAGATTCTATTAATGATGGAAAGAAATCCGTTAATGCAGAGGAAAGGGAAATTAGAAGAGGAATAACTATTATGAAGAAAATCATTCATGATAGAAGTAGAGGAACATAATATGATGTGCATTGGAATTCAAATGAGAAACTAATTGAACCTAACGGTTTTAAATTGATAATTTACATTGGTTGACTTATAAGGAGAGAAGTTTAAATTACTTGTGATAATTGGAGAAACGAGAAGTTGGATACCGCTAAAGACAAAATCTTGAGTGAGATACAGGTACCATATGTGATGTTATTTGTTTTTTATTATGATTATATCTTTAATTACTTATACTAACATACTCTATGTATGTTTTTCATAGAGGTCTTTCAACATTGATGATACCAGAAGAGATTATTATCTTCAATTTGCTGGAAAAAGAGATAGAGGGTTTAGATCTTAATTTTCAAACAAGTATCTAAGAGATGCCGAAAATAATTTTGTTGATGTCAAGCGTCCAAGTAAATATGCAGACTTGATTTCACCGGAATAATGAGACACTTTTAAAGGCAAATGAAGAACCATAAAATTTTAGAATACGAGTGTCGTAAATCGCCAACCAGCATCAGGTCCCGTGTATCGATACAGAAAAGGGCGTAAGGGATATGCATGCTTAGAAAAAAATAGTAAGTATCTATAAATTGCAATGATATACTTGTTCATCATGAGTTATAATTGATCTTATTTTTTATCTTAATGTGAAGTTAAAAGAGGATAATAGTTCTGAAACATCTATTCTGGAACATGTTTTGTGTAAGGCTGCCCGTGTGGGTAAGGATGGAGTTGTTAAAGAAGAGGTTCAACAAATTTTTGATAAATGTGTAAGTATAACATTAACAATGTCATATTTATTATAGGTTTTAGGGCATTTCACCGTGTCAACTTTATTTATCGTCACTGATTTATCGGATGGTTGGCAACAGGGAAGTGCATAATACTTTGGGAGAAGTACTTCACCATAAACCGCTCCCTGCTGGATATTTGAAGGTATCAATTGATATTGCTTTAGAGGGGGGGTGTTATTACCAATACCAGATGATGTTTCAGATGCAACATTGGTGGGAGAGGTAGTAGGTGTGTATGTTGCATGGTCGTCAAGCGTCATTCGCGTAGATGATGAGGTATGCTTAAAACCATTATGAACCCTTGAGTATTCAATGTTTTTACGAGCATTTTACGTACATTTTTTTACATGGTAATGTTAGACTCCTACAAATCCCAACTCAAAAGATAAAGGGATTATGCGGCAAACCGAGTCTGTTGCATCAAAAAAAGAGGTATAACACAATTATATGATATTTATGCATAGAATGATCTTATACTTCACCTAACTAATTATATCATATTTAGATGCATGCGAAAGAGATTGAACAGTCAGTAGGGGTAAGGAGACCACGACTAGCAAAAAACCTATTTCTCAGTATAGGTCGTGCCTTCGGACATATATAGGAATAACATATATTCCAATTGGCGGTACTCGTCTTATACCTATGAAGGCATGCATTTTTGGTTATGAATACATGGAAGCAATTGGTAGAAAAGATATGGATAAAGTTTTTAAACATTTGACTTTAGGCCTCAGTGTTATCGATACATACATCAGGTATACTCCGATCAAATTTGTTTAATTCAATGAACAATTTATTTACTCATTTCAATGAATATAGTCTAATTTTAATGATGATTTTATTTAAGGTTTTTGTATGACAAAGTCATGCGCCCGCGTGGATTGGAAGAAAGATTCGCTTTCTTAGCTCCCAACACTGTCAACACAGGGTTAATCGTAACAGGACCAGATGATGTCATATCGTATGTACTCGGTTTATTTGTGGCCAACAAAGATACAAAAAATTTATTCTTTTTACCATATAATACTGGCAACGAGTTATATTTTCATCCTAACTTCATCTATTATAATTTTTCATTTTTTGATGTTGTGTAGTAACTTTCCATCTAACATTTATTTAATTTTAGAGTGGACATTGTTTGTTTCTTACGATTAATCCTGTAAGAGGAATTATATACTATCTAGGTTCGTTATACGATGATTAGACAACATACCCAGATTTGAAGAAGATGATTGATACGTAAGTGAGATTGTTCTAAATATTCATGTGTATATTTATTTATCTATGTGAGACTGTTCTAAATAGTCGTTTATATTTTATTATAACGTTCTACAAGATTTTCGATCACAAAGAGGTATTCAAGTACCAAAGAGTAGAGCCAATAACATTAGGTGGATCAGAGTGCAGGTATATTTTCACAATTTTGATTATATTAGTGATGATACTTGATAAAACAAGTTAAGAGGAATATCCTGATATATATCTATATTTTATTTCCATGTGTAGTGTCCTCATCAATGTAATGGTATAAATTGTGGTTATTTCATCTTGAGTTATATGACAGAAACACTTCTTTTGGACCGAATAGAGATTCCATCCACGGTATGAATTTCTAACTTAGGAATTATTTTAATATTTCTCATAAAATGGCATAGTGTTTTAACTAAATCGCATATTGTGTTATATTACTATGTAGTACTTTGACGAATTCAATTGTGCTCATTACTCAAAAGATCAATTGGATGAACTTATGGAGGAATTGTGTTAATTCATTATGGAGTTGAGAATTTTATAAGGTATATTGTCTTTCTTTCATTGATGAGAATTTTGAGTATAACTTTCGAGTTTTGAGAATAAATTCGAATAAAGTTTTGTTTTATCATGGTATGAATTTCGATCTTTTGGTTTTGTTCCAGGTTATAGGTGCAGATGTAGAAGATAGAGCTAACAAGTTCATTGTTGTTGTTTTTTAGAAATTCTCAAAGATAATAAAATGTAGATTAAACATCAATTTAGAATTTTAGAATTTTCAAGTTGTATAATCAATTTTCAAGTTGTTGTTGTATATATCATCAATTATATATATGTAGATTTTTTTGTATATGCAAATTTGGTGCATATTTATTGGATTGAAGCTACCAAATCAGGTGCAAAATATGGTGAAAACCTAGTGTAAAATATAGTGAAAATCTGGTGAAAATTTATTGTAGATATTGGACAGCGCTTTTTGTAAGTGAAAATAAGTCTAATATTTAAAAAAATTTGAATATTAGACAACTCTTAATAAGAAAAGCGTTGTCTAAAGTGGGAAAAAAGCGCTGCCTAAAATGGGGAAAGTGCTGCCTAAAATGGGAAAGTGCTGCCTAAAGTGGGGATTAGACAGTGCTTTTAAAGAAAAGCGTTGTCTAAAGTGATGCCTAAAAGATAACCAAAAGCGTTGTCTAAAGAGAAAGTGCTGCTAAAGGAGTACTTACTAAAGCGCTCTCTAAAGAGAAAGCGCTGCTAAAGGGGTGCATAAGAAAGCGCTTTTAAAGTAAAAGCGCTTCCTAAAGGGGACATATAGCAGCGCTTATATATTAATCCAAAGCGTTGCATTTACTTATAGCAGCGCTGGTTTAGGCAGCACTTTAAAGCATTGTCTATGGCCAAAAAAAGCGTTGCCTATGTACTTGTTTGACATAGTGACACAGGGTAAAAACAATAGAAAAAACTATAGATGTGATCAAGAATAACGTTAAAGGGAGAATCCATAATGTTTTACCGAAAAAGGTTAAACAAGAGGTCTTAACCTGGTTTAATAGCTTATAACTTGTTTCTTATTGTAATTGTTGGTTGTAAAAACTCTCAGTTTTGGTTAATAAACTTTCTGTTTACCAAAAACAAGTTTTTAGTTACTCATAATTTCCCGTCGCATAACTCAATTTTGTCTTATTAAAATCACCCAATGTCTTGAGAAAAATCGCTACTGATGAAATTTTGATCAAACCTAAAAGAACTATCTCGGTGACGAGTATGCCCTATATCTAGTGATCATTAACAGCCTCCCAACAAAATTTAATTCCAATAGAAAATATATGGTTAGTTATCAATATATATCTAGATTGATCCCTTTGATTTCATATAATGGAAAAAGCAGTAAGTATAAAATATTATTGAATAACTTTAAAATGTTCACAACGAAAAGCAAATATAAACATATCACAAAGTTCACATTATTAGATAAAAATTCATCTAAGAGGACTTAATCGAATGGAACTAGTCACTCATTCTTAATGTATTTGTGGCTAATTTAATACAAGAAAACATTTAAACCTTACAAAATATTAGGGATGACTTATTAGGTTATTCAATGTGTTCCTTCCTACTCTAAGACCCAATTTTTTTTAAAACCTGGTTGTAAACAAAACTGTGGAACAAAATTGGACACTAAAACCCCTTGTATTTATTCCCACTAAAATATTGGGATTTTAGGGTTGAGGAAAAAATTACAAAATAGTCCAATTTTTAAAATTTTGCATTTTAACAACGATAAAATTATAACCCCCTATTCTCCAACCTTTTAATTCATAATGTGACTTTAACTTCTTCATGAACATTGTAGTCCAAAATAAAATATTCCATTTTTTTCTAATATCACCTCGGTTGTGTAACTACGAGATGCAATCTAATAAGGTGAGTGAATTTGTGTCATTGAATTTTTCCCATTTATGCGTAATGTTATTAATTTTTATTAAGAAATTTAAGCAATGAATCTTTCGGTTCTTAGAATAATATTAGTAAAAAAAATAAAAGTGGTGCAAAATAAAGGACACAGAAATTATAATAGTTCCCTTTATCAACCAATAGTACATTTAGTCCTTTCACAACTTCAAATATTTTCCACTATTTTTAGATCTTTGTACAAGCCGCACGCCGATATTTCTTTACAATCTTCTAAAACATACACAAACATCAAATCTATGGTGGACACTGAATCACCCCATTTCAAAGAACTTTTTCATAAACACCGAACACCATGGTTGACTTTGAACAACCAAATTCAAAGGGTATTTTTAAACACCAAATACTATGGTGGACTTTGAATCAAACCCAATTCAAAAGACCTTTTTCCATCGACTTATCGTGACAAACTTGAAAAGAAAGACGAGAACATACCAAGAAGCTATGATGATCTCGGTACCCCGAGGTGTCACTCCATCCCCTTCCAAACTCCCTCAGCAGAACCCTGTGAAGAAAGCCAAAACACTGATGGGTGATCCCCTGAACAAATCCAATCTGGCTATTGCCGCTTTGATGAAGGAAACCAGTGATAGAAGCCAACAAACACAACCTCCTAGTGAGTTCAAGTTCTGGTCAAACGAGTTTAATGGCCTAAAGTTTCTATATGACTATCTGAACTCTGACGAAGATGTCAATAAAGCTAAATCCATCAGTGTGCGGAAATTAAGCACAAATTCCAACTCTTACTTGATGAGGTGTGCGGTGATGATCAAAGCTCTATTTGAGGTTGATGGTGAATCTAGTCAAGCGGAGGAACATATATCCAAGGAGGTCACAAAGCTGAAAGGTGATCTCAAAGAACAAGCTCGGTAGGAAGAAGAAGCAACTGAGCAATTGACTGTCATGATTAAGAAGAAAGAAGATATTGAAGAAACCGTTGCTAGGATGGTTTGTGATGTTGAGAAGCTTCGAGAGTCCAATCAGCAGCTAAAGACTTCTATAATTGACGCCTAGGTTGATATCTTGTCGGCTTGTGATGATGCCTTTGAAAGAGCCAAAGCTCAAGCTTTGTGCCTTCAACCAGATCTTAATGTAGCGAGATGGATTATTTCAAGGTCGTGATGGATGGTAGATTGGTGGAGGTGGATGCTAAGAGTCCATAAGCCGGGATTTCTAAGCAAGGCGAACAAGATAAGGACCAAACTGTGACTTCTCTTGATGGTAATCTGGCCGATGAAACCCATAATGATGTGTAACTCCTAATTTATCTTCATGTTTTCATTAGTCATCCCTGGGGATGCATTTTGTAATGATTATAAATTGTTTGCGACAATACTATTTTGTGCCCCTTGTGGGCATGTATGCGCAACTCTTTAATCCCATTGTTTGGAATTTATGTCACGCTTTAGCTTACACTGTTGGATTTCCATGATTGATGTGTATTACGTTTTTTTCCTTTTATAGTTGTACTTGAGGAAGTATAACTCCTTTTAAAAAAATGTGTTGCTAACCCTCTAATGCCTAAAAGCTGAGATGTTTTTAGCCTTGGACATGTTTCTCAGTAATGCTTCTCCGTTGTCCTTTCCGCGTAGCCTTGGGCATGCTTCTCGAGCATATCATCCGCCCCAACTTGGAATGACGCAACTGGTTCCGATTTAAACTCTATAGCGCTCAAAGACCACTGGCGGGATGACCCGACCTACTGGAAATTCGTGTTTTGTCTTTGGTTAAGTCATGGAAGACTTTAGACGTTGCAAAGACGTGGAGCCCAGTGAACTTCCCTTCTTACGTCTTGTAAGTAAAAGTTTATGCTCTTAGGAGTAGTCTTTCATTTAGCCTGAGTTGAGCTCCCCCTTAGGTGCAGACATAGATCCGGAGGCGTAACCCGCTTCCGACAAAGACTTAACCTGGATGCGATTAAATTTGAACAAAGGCCTTAGAGGCGTAATTGACTTCTGACAAGGACTTAACCTTGATCCGTTTAATGAGGAAAGAGGCCTCAGAGGCGTAACCGGCTTCTGGAAAGGACTTAACCTTGATTTTGTTAAATGCAAACAGAAGCCTCAGAGGCGTAATCGATTTCTGACATGGACTTAACCTTGGTCCGGTTAAATGAAGACAGAGTCCTTATTAGCGTAACCAGATTTCGACAAGGACATAACCTTGATCCGGTTAAATGCGGATAGAGGCCACAGAGGCGTAACCGGTTTCTGGAAAGGACTTAACCGGCTTCCGGAAAGGACTTAACCTTGATCTAGATAAATAGGGACAAAGGCCTCGGAGGCGTAACCGGTTTCTGACAAGCACTTAACCTTGATCTGGTTAAACGCGAACAGAGGCCTCAGAGGCATAACTGGCTTCTGACAAGGACTTAACCTTGATCTGATTAAATGGGGACAGAGGCCTCGAAGGCGTCACCAGATTTCATCAAAGACTTAACCTTGATCTGATTAAATGCAAACAAAGGCCTCAATAGCGTAAAAAGCTTCTAGCGAGGACTTAACCTTGATCCGGTTAAATCATTCGGAAAAATAGTACATGGCCAGGAATATTTTACCTGAATACGCCTGTAAGAACAAGATTTGGTTCTACAATATTATCTCTGAGTTTTGATGATAAAAAATGAGTATGATTGTATGAACAATTGTGTTGTACTAATGTTTGTTATTATTGAGTACTTAACAAATAGGTTCTACTTCTGATGGATGGCGTGGCCAAGACATTATAAGAGAAATGATTTCATTTCTATGCTACATAAGTTATGTTGAACAGTAGCAAGACACTCCATAAGGCTCTCAAGTGTAAGCCCTGATATTGTTCTGAAGAAACCACTCAAAGATCTGAAGACAGAAGTTGTTACTTATGTCCAGATGCTGAAATACTCAAGCTTCTAAAGACAACGCGTTCTAAGGAAACCAGTCAAAAGATATGAAGACAAAAGTTGTTACTTATGTCCAGATGTTGAAGACTCGCGTTTCTAAAAGACAGTATGTTTCAAGAAACAAAGTTAGAAGATCTGAAGACGAAGTTTCTACTGAAGTACAGATGCTAAAAACTTAGTTTCTAAAAGATAACTTGTTCCAAAGAAGACAAAGTTAAAAGATCTAAAGACGATGTTTCTAACTAAAGTCCAGATGCTAAAGACTATGTGTTTCTAATGACAAAGTTCTTAATATAAGGATTCTTAAAGAACCAAATACTAAAGATTCTAAAGATAGAAAATTTAAAGATTCCAAAGACTTGAAGTTCTAAAGGTCCATGGTTATCTAAAAACAGGTTATGAAGACCAAGTGTTAAAGACTCTAAAGACGCAGTTCTTAAGACTCTAAAGACTTGAAGCTCTTATGATATAAAGGTTCACTACAACGGGTTCTCACGACCAAGTGCTAAAGACTCTAAAGACGCAGTTCTGAAGACTCTAAATACTTGAAGTTCTGAAGACCTTATATTATGTTCCTACTTCTAATCTCATGCTCTCAGAAGTCTCAGAAGTTCATAAGTAAAGAATATAACGGTAACACATTACAATAGTACACAGTACGAAAAGCTTTATGCCACTACCTCTCCACTAACTTAAAGTGTGGAAGAGATAAGGACGCCGTAGTACTGTTTGTAACGACTCTTTTTCAAATAGCCAACGAATCTATTTTTCTTGGCTATATAAGAAAATAATTGTATGTTTAAACTATTGGTTGGTTGGTTGCTTAACACATGATGCTGAATGAGATAAATATTGATGTTCTTGGCACAGGCTGCTTGGCTGGGTGATAAAAGCTGCAAGTTGCAAGTTACAGGTTATTGATGTTAAAGTTAAAAAGAAAAGTTATCATTATTAGAACACAACCAAAAACAAAGCTATCATCCACTATAACAATATGAATAATTCTACAAGATGTTATTCAATTTACTAATCATATACATTTTGGAAGAATCATGAAAAAGCAAGGAGTTATTGCTCATAGCTTTCTCAACAAAGAAGATGAAGACAAGAAGACTACAAGATGCTTCACTTAATTTAGATTAGATTCACCTTTGTAGAAATATGTAAAACAAAAGAGTTATTGCTCAAATTGTGTTATTTCTTAAGATCTTCATGTAAATTGGTTGTACACAAGAGTTGTTGCTCAGAATTGTGTCAAACAATATGTACTTATATTAGGAGTAATCTACTTGATAAGAAGAACTCATGTAATCTCTAGAAAAATCATTTTGTTTAGAAGTGTTTGGCACCTCAAGTGATCGAGTGAAGATCAGAAGACTTGAGAAGACTTTGGCTGCGGTCATCGTAGATGAAATCCAGAAAGCAATCAAGAGAAGTGTACTAGCTGATCATTTGGCTCATCAGGCCATGGATGACTACCAGTCCATGAATTTTGAGTTCCCGAATGAGAATATTATGTTAGTGACTAACTGTGAAGAACCTGGACCGGATGAAGGACCTGAGGAAGGATCCCGATGGACTATGGTTTTTGATGGAGCCTCCAATGCACTCGGCAATGACATCGGTGTTGTAATCATATCGCCTAAGGGTTGTCATAATCCTCTTATCGCCAGATTGTGTTTTAACTGTACCAACAATATGGCGGAGTATGAAGCATGCATCATGGGTTTCAAAGCGGCTATTGACCTGAGGATCAAGTTCTTGAGCGTTTTCTGAGATTCAGCCTTGGTAATAAGCCAAATCAAAGGTGAGTGGGATACAAAGCACCCTAATATCATCCCCTACAAAGAACATGTGTTCACACTACTCCCACACTTTGAAGAGGTCACCTTTGAACATTTCCCATGAGAAGAGAATCAGTTAGCGTACGTGCTAGCTACCATGTCATCTATATTCAAGGTCAAGTGGGACAACGAGGCCCCTCAGATCACTATTGAAAGGTTGGATGAACCGAAATATTGCTACGAGATTGACACTGAAGAGGTAGCCGACAAACCTTGGTTCAATGAAGTGAAAAGGTATCTTGAGGCTCAATAATATCCTGAGGGGGCATCTATCAATGATAAAAAGTTCCTGAGGAGGTTAGCTACAAAGTTCTTCCTCAGCAATGGAATCCTCTATAAGCGAATCATGACTCTACTTTACTTCGGTGCGCAGATAAGAGCGAAGCAGAGAGGATTATGACAGATCTACACGAAGGTACCTTTGGCACCCATTCTAGCAGACACACTATGGCTAAAAAGATCCTACGGGATGGATACTACTGGTCCACTATGGAAGAAGACTGTTATCAGCATTCTCGAACTTGCCACAAATGCCAAATCTATGATGATAAAGTACATGTGCCTATGGTTCCCTTGAATATCTTGACGGCTCCCTGGCCCTTTACAGTGTGGGGTATTGACATGATCAGAGAGATTAGGCCTACCGCTTCCAATGGACATCACTTCATCCTAATGGACATTAATTACTTCACAAAGTGGGTTGAGGCTGCCTCTTTTGCTTCTGTTACCAAGAATGTTGTGGCCCAGTTTTTCAGGCACAACCTGATTTGTCGGTATGGTGTTCCAGAGAGAATCATTACCGACAATGAGACAAATCTCAACAATACAATGATCACCGAACTCTGTAAGCAATTTAAGATCCAGTATCATAATTCTTCCCCTTATCGGCCGAAGATAAATAGCATTGTGGAGGCTGCTAACAAGAACATCAAGAAAATTATACAGAAGATGACGATGACATATAAAGACTAGCTAGAGATGTTACCATTTTCTCTTCATGGCTATCGCACCTCAGCATGCACGTCGACAAGGGCAACACCTTATTCTCCGGTATATGGTATTGAGGTTGTCCTGCCTATTGAGGTCCAAATCCCTTCTCTGAGGATCATGAAGGATGCGAGTTTAAGCGAAGACGATTGGATCCAAAC